AACCCACTGCAGGGTCATATTTACATAAGTGGTTGTCCACTAGGACTCCTAGATTCCTCTTGCAGTTATTATTATTAAGCCAGGTTCCACTTATTCTATACCTATGCATTTGGTTTTTATTGCCTAAGTGTAATACCTTACTTTTCTCACCACTGAATTTCATTTTCCTAGATAGGACCCAGTGTTCAAGTTTGTCAGGATCTTTCTGGAACTTGAGCCTATCTTCTGGAGTGTTGGCTATTCCTGGTGTCATCTGCAAATTTGATGAGTTCCCCCTTCTATCCCATCATCTAAATTATTTATGAAGATGTTGAAGAGTATTGGGCCTATGGTGTCTCTTCCATAGGATAGATAGAACTTTCTAGCATAAAGTCCTTAAAATGTATAGATGAATATATTATTTGAAAAAAAATATCATGCTTTTTGGCAGTGATTTTAGTATATGTTGCTTGCTGCTAAAGAAAATCTTCTGGGAGACAGATACTCCTTTGAAACAAAAATATAAAAAGTATCCACCATTCATAACTTGCAAAGAGTAAGAGACATATAAATTGATGCAGGAAGTATCTCTCTTCATGTCTATGCAAAATGTGTCCAGACTGATGGGTCTTCTCTGCCGCCCCCATGGGTATGACTGAAGGTGTGTGACTGTCTGTCCACCCACCTTTCCTTCTAACTGCTTAGATGCTGGGATATAGGAAGGGAAGGAGATATAAGTGGAAGGAGCGGCCAGAATCTCAAATCTTTTCTTGTCCCACATTAGAGTGTACTTGAAGGCTGTTTTTCCTGACATAGGTGGGAGGGAAAAGAAACCAGGAAATCCTCCAATTGGTGACCTGAAAACTTTCCCATATTAAAGGCCACAAGGGCAGCACAGTTTGTGTCAATATATGTTTTGTCATTATGAGTCAGAGGATGTATTTTTAAAGAAATTAAAAGTCACATTCATAGATTACTTGTTTGTTTGTTTGTTTGTTTGTTTGTTTGTTTGTTTGTTCATTATCAAATTTAGAAACTATCCATCTCCCTCAAGAGGTACTCTGGGCAGCGTACAAATAAAAATGGTGAATATACTTTAATTTCTGCAATTCTTTTCTAAATTTTTAATTAATTTCTAAAAAAATTAATTTTCTTTTAGATTTGGAGAATGTTAAAAAGACCAGACTGATGAGAGATGGTCACTGGGACCAATCAAAGAATAACACTTGTTCTACCTCACTGTGACAACTGGAAAAAGGTAGGAAGTTCTGAAATAGAAAGAGTAACTGTTGAGAGTTGGCAGTATTTTGGGTTGTGAAGTATAGGTGAAAAACAGAAAAAAATAGCAAGATCTGCGCTGAGAAGAAGAAAAAAGGTTTTGACTACAGCAAGGGCTCCAAACAGAGACAATTTTGATTATATGTTAAGTAGTTCTCTCTTTTTTTGTCATGAGTTGTTCTTTTATTTAAAGCTTGTGTCCAGTGGCACTATGGGGAAAGGAGGGATATAAAAATATCAAGATGGCAATCATGGGAACATGACTGACATCCTACTGCTTTGAACATGCATATGACACTATTAAAAGGATCTGGCTTTAGTCATATTGCCACGGCTGGCTTCTCATAATTTTTACACATAAACACACACACAAACATACACACACACACACTCACAGGCAGATGCTGGACAAGTATCCTGTTAGAATTTTATTGTAACATATAGTATTTTTGAACATGCTCATTCAGAGCTACCATTAGAAGAACCCAAAGAAACCCTATCCATCAAGTTTGTACCCAGAACCCAACCTGAAAGAAAATGGGTTTCTTTTTTATGATATAGGGGAGGAGTTAGAAGAACCAAGGAACTAAGAAGGAAGGATGGGGTGTGGGGGAAAGGTTACTACCGGTGTGTGAGAGTACATACCAATACCTGGCAGTTCAGAACATTTTGTAGGTTATTGCCAGAGTGTCTAAGTTCAGACAGGATTTTCTTAATCTATTTTAGAGTCAAGCTGGTATGAGCACAGAACAGGGGCAGTTTAAACTTTAAGCCCAAGATTGCTGCCAATCCCCTCCCCCAAGGAATTGTAATGAACGTGAGGAAAATAAGAACTTTCCATAAGTGCGCCCATACATTTTGTTGGGAATTCTGGAGACAGCACCCAGTTTTAACCCTGGAGTTCTATCATTTATCATGCAGGTTAAGTGAATAAGCCAAAAGGCATTGTGAACTCTACTGTCACCAATTTATACATCATACATCAGTTAATATTACAAATTCTATATACCAACATTTCTTCAAATATATATTCTAATATAAAATATTGTTCTGTAATATACAATATGTGTGTGTGTGTGTGTGTGTGTGTGTATTGCATAATACAGAATAAAAAATGTTTTCTAATATACATTTTGTGCACATTTCTTTGATTATGCACATTGATAATATATACATTTGATTAAATTTGTATCAGTGAATTGCCTTGCAAAACTTGGAAAATAAGTAAATCCTGAAATATAACAATATTTTGATAAATTTTGTAAATTTTTTATCTTCCATTCCTTCTGATCTTTGGAATAAAGATGAATATGTAGAAAATATGTAGAAAATTTTGCAAATACTGTTGGATGATGTACAACACACTTTGGATTGCTTTCCCTTTTTTAATGAATAAAAATCCACTTTCTAGAATATTTATGGGGGCCATCATTTACTCCCTTCCCATCCAATGCCTTAGAAAAATGCCAGGTTCAAAGCATTACTGAAAATGAAGAATATTGGCTAGGTATTGGCATGGTAGTGAAAGAAACAAACAAGCAAAAATGAAACTTAATGGGGGAAAGTTGGTATACATTTTCTTCTTCTCCAATTTTTCCGACAGGAAAAATTTTTCCGACAGGATAGAAAAGTTCAAGAGGCAATTTGTTCATAATTCAAATTCCTTTGAGGCTGAAGAGATGCTACACTTGATGCGAGCATTATTTGTATTCTGCAAATGAATGGTCTAGAGACTGACTACTTAAATAAGAAATAAGAAGCTTGCTTGATTTGGAAGTTAGTTCAACAATCCCACCCCACTCCCAATCCTGGCTTGTTTCATAAAACTCATTTTCTGACTTGACTCAGAGACTATATTTTTATTTCTACAGCAACAGCCTCTGGTTTCCAATTATGGAAATGCAGTTGTTAAAAGCATTCATATGCCAAACAACATTGGTTTCAAGAATGACGCTTTTAATGGAGATAGGAAAGTAGCACATTTCAAAAGTATATTCTACAATGTGAGAAGAAAATGCCTTCCATGATAACCCAACTGCTTCTGAAAGACTTACATATTTACAAAGGTCTAATCGTTTCCCCTTAATCTACAATGGGGAAGTAATGAGCAACAATTTAACATATAAGAAATTATAGTTATTCTATCCAAAAATAGGGTTGTTACTGCAGGGACCTTCTGCATAGGTGGTATGTACAGTTAAATATAAGTAGGAATCAAGTTGCAAGACTACAGTCAGCCACTGCACTGCTCCTTCCAAGAATGTGGCAGAAGACTGTTATTAAAGCCATGGAGATTGATCAGATAAATAGCATCAAGTCAATTAGTTGAAAACTAAATTGTAATTTACGTTTCAGCTAAAGTGGTCCTCCCTTTTTTGTCCTGGTCCTGCCCACAAGCAGGAGAGTCTACCCCCCACTGATCTCAAAAAAAATAGGCAGGGACAGAAGAAGTTGGTGAAGGACCTGCTAGGAAAATCCAGGACTGACTACCTGTCAGGAGAATTGAAAGAACTTCTCAGGAGAAAGTAGCAGTGAACCATGACCATATTGTTTCTAAGAAAATAGCCCGGGCATGTCTATATAGTCCCTAGAACTATGCATTCTATTTGATGACATTGACTTTCCTTATTTCTGGCTAGCTGAGTGAGGATATCAACATTTTTTTAAACCTCAAATTCCCATAGCAAGGATTATAGGATAATTTGTTTTCCATAGGCTGAATTCAACTTGTGATCCGTTCTCCCCTTTGTATTCTTTTCAAGTTCATGTCCAACTTCTGGTAAAGATTTGTGTCTCCCTTTATTCTTTCTTTTAGTGTTAGGATAACATCTTAAAAGAAGCTCAGTTCTCTAACAGCTATGTAGACATGGTTGCAAACAGAGATGTATGCATATATTCACTCATACGGGTTTATTTTTGAATAGCAAGCTAAGCAAGCTTTAGCCTACTGAGTTGTGTGAATGGAGCAAATATGGTTACTTTATGAAGCACTGTATCATTTGAAGCTAGAAAATAAGAAAAAAATAAGATTTTATCTGATTTTTCAAAGTAGTCAAAATGTCAAAGTATAAAGAGAAATTAGAAAACACTTAGAGCAGCATACAAAGGAGTTTTAATGAACAAACAAAGCAAAATCCAATTTAGTAATCCTGACATTTCTTCTGGAGGAAAATCCCCCAAATTAATAAAAGGGATGGGGAAAAAAGATCACTTCCTTCTTTTCACTTTGTCTTTCAGTGAAGGAAAGAAATGAGGTAATCAATGGATTTTCAGTTGAGTTGCTGAGTGAGTGCAAAAACTACCTAAATATCTCATTAGAAGTTTCTTTAAAGAGCAACCTGAAAGACTGTCTATAGTCTGGCATCTCACTGATCTGTTTTCAAATCTTGAGATGTTAAATGCTTATGCCTCTACTAAATACCCTATCCTCAAAGTATAGTGTAATATGCTGTGCTTAACAATGAGTAGTTATGTCTAAATGGTGCCATCTACCGGCCACTGTCTTTTTTCTTAATAAATCAAGTACATAATCTACCAAAGAACCTTCAATATCTCCCACCCCAATCAAAGGGAAGCACTCTTTTTGAGTTTATAGCATATTAGCAAAATGATATAAACTAAGTCTCTATTGGTTACAACAGTGTAATACATTCATATTCAATGATGCAAAATTATTTTGTTCTATAATGATTTTATTATCAAAATATTTACAATTTAAAGCATAAAACACCATTGAAATTAATTTTAAATAAATTAAATACATATTATATATAAAATATTACAAAAATTATTATGTTTCATATTTAATCTCCTTTAAATAAACTTTTATTTAAAAATAAGGAACTGTGGACTTAGATACTCATACCTTTTCTTAGCATTTCATGTTAAGACAAACAAAGCATATGATGGTTTAAGAGCAATGTGTGAATACATTCCTACAATTGAAACAATCAAATTTATGGAACTATAGAATGAACAGAAATTCTAGATTACAACTACAGATATGCAGGGTTGTTTTCAGGAGGGAGTGTTGATCCCTCGGGAGTAATTCAAATTACTAATAGATGTCTCTGGGTTACTTATTAAGCTATTCCCTAATATAATGTATAAATACTTTCAAACAAATTTCCATTTAAAAAAATAGTTCTGGGTTTATTTTGGAGGATGGTTTTTAGAATTGTTTCACTTATACTTTGCTTCCAAAACAGATTTAGTCATCTTTGATTCACAAAAAAATTGCATACAATTATCCAAGAAATAAATACTATTCATAATTTAGATAATACAGTACTAAATCCCATAGGGATGAAACATTTTAAAAATCTTGATTCATTTCAAGACACACTATTGACATTAGAGGATTACATCAGAGGTGGGTTTCAGCAGGTTCTGACCAGTTCTGGAGAACTGGTAGCAGAAATTTTGAGTAGTTCGGAGAACCGGTAGTAAAAATTCTGACTGGCCATGCCCCCATCTATTCTCTGCCTCCCAAGTCCCAGTTGATCGGGAGGAAATGGGGATTTTGCAGTAACCTTCCCCTGCCACGCCCACCAAGCCACACCCACCAAGCCACACCCACAGAACCAGTAGTAAAAAAATTTGAAACCCACCACTGGACTACATGTAGTACATTTCTGCAAGTTTAGGCTTTGGCAGAGATAATGAATTATCCCATTCTGAAATTATTTTAAGTATTACTTTGGTAACTTCAAAAACTATAGAAAATTACACCCTAAAAATTAACATCTCCCTTTTCTATGTCCAAACTGAACTGTTCCCTAGAGGTATTGTAGATAAATGTATCACAATAGTTAAATATTCCCTGATGATTAACAGTTGTGAGGTCTCTTCTTGAAACATGGCCACAAAAAACAAAATGTACAATTCTACATGAAAACGTCTACATCCACCGTTTTCAGTATGACAAAAGTATCATTTATATATAAAAAAGAATAAATTCCCAACACCTTTGTTCTAGATTTACAGAAAGTGAAGGGAGTTATCAGAGCTCAAAATATTAAGGACAGAAGATACCCTCAGGTGGATTGTGTATAAGGCTGGACTGGAGCATATGCCATGCTGCTTGGATGGTTTCTATTCTTCCTTGATATGTTGCCAGCATTAGAACAGGATTATTGTGGTGGGACAGGATACTTCTTCTCAAGTCATTGTCCTCAAGGAACCTCCACTTATCCATGTCAGAAAGGGCTTCTCCAAAGGCGACTTATCTCAGTCCATGAGTGGCTGGATATCATTTCAGAGATGTTCACATTTACTGGCTGAAAATAAGAAAATGTAATAGTTTTGGATGTGCCTCCTTTCAACTTCCTTTCTTATGTTTCCAAATATTGGTGAGAATAGATCAAAATCCTATGGCTATAACAATATTTTATTTACCATTTTTGAACTCATGAGAAACTTTGTATGTTTTTTAATCCAAATATTTCTGTGGCTATATGACACAATATTATTTGACATAATAATGTCAAGTTATTCTTAGCTGCAGACTATTTTTGACCTCACTTTAGATCAATTTCCAACCTCAATATTTAAATCAGCTGCTTCTGGACATTTCTTTCTTTAAAAAAAAAACCTTCTGTATGTCTAAGCACATATGAATTTGTACCACAAGTTATTATGACGTTATTTTAACAGACAATTTTATTAATTGACCAGGGATTCTGGTAATATTTTTATTGTATCTTTTTCTGCACCACTTATTAAAGTATTTTATTATTTTATCCCTTCCACTGTTTTTAATATTTTAGCTCAGTTTGAAATCTGCCTAAGAACTCTGTAATATTAGGCAGATTATTGGAATGATTAATAAATTAGCTATTATTTATCCTTTCCTCCAGAGCAGGACTTCCTAAGCTTTTTGTCATCATATCTCACTTTTGTGTAATTTTAATGTATACACTTCCTCTAAAAATCAAACTTCAAAAGGAACACAAAAGAACAATGAAAATATTATAATGAAAGTTTGGGAAAATTGAATGTACTGCAATAATATACAAGGAAAATTTGGCTGTAAAATCAGAAGTCGTAGTCATGTGATATCTCCTTAGTTACCTGTGGTGACCCACTTAACAACCAAATGGGAAGTGGTGTTGTAAGTCTATAATGTTCACTTGAAGTTTTGCTTAGTGATCACATCACTTAAGCAACAAAGTTGCTGTCCCAATTGTGCTCACTAAGAAAGGACGACCTGCACTCCTGGAAAAGTTGGTGTAAGTTAAATCAAATCTAAAAGTGTATAAATCCATTTTAAAAAGCATCATATTATATGGAATAGATCAGCCAATTGTTTCCCACTTTAATATAGTCCTTCCTTGATGAAGGACTCCCTGCGCACGGTCACTCATGCCCTCGTCACTTCCTGCCTGGACTACTGTAATGCTCTCTACATGGGGCTCCCCTTGAAGAGCACCCGGAGGCTCCAACTGGTCCAGAATGCGGCCGCGAGGGTGATTATGGGAGCATCATGGCGCTCCCATGTAACACCTCTCCTGTGCGAGCTGCACTGGCTTCCGGTGGTCCTCCGGGTGCGATTCAAGGTGTTGGTGACCACCTTTAGAGCACTCCATGGCTTAGGACCTGGATACCTACAAGACCACCTTCTGCCACCGAGAGCCTCCCACCGGCCAGTACACTCCCACAGAGAGGGGCTCCTCGAGGTGCCGTCGGTCAAACAATGTCGACTGGCGGCCCCCAGGGGGAGAGCTTTCTCCTTGGGAGCACCTGCCCTCTGGAACGAGCTCTCCCCAGAGATACAGAGGATTCCGGATTTACATACTTTCCGCCAGGCCCTCAAGACTTTTTTATTTCAACAAACCGGGCTGGCCTAACTTCTCCAACTGCCTAATTTTAATTCGAATTTTAAATGGGGTATTTTAATTGTTGGGCCAAAATTGTTTAATATGTTTTTAAATTGCTCTTAAATTTTTGTATTCTATGTTTTTTACCTTTGGCTGTTCACCACCCTGAGTCCTTCGGGAGAAGAGCGGTATATAAATTTAAATATATATAAAATAAATGAAGATGGAAAAAATTATCCTATGGAATATTGAAAGCCCAAGATCATTTTCTAAGGATTCAAGACTTAATTCTTAAATGTGTCTTAAACACTATAATATTTTCTTAGTCAACTCTGTCACTTGATGGGAAAAAATATATACATTTTTCATAAATCAATATCCAGCCATGAAGTAAAAACTTCAAGCATTATTAAAAAAAAGATGTTCAGCTTTTTACCGAAACATGTGATTTAACATAAAACATATATGGTATAATTTGGCAACCAGTATTTCTCCAGGCCTCAGAGAAAGTCCCTTTTTTCAATTCTACTACCTAATATTCTTTATTAGAAATTTTAGCATGTGCTTGTGGCTATTTTCATATTATAGAGCAATACACTACTGCTGAGCTATGCTCTTGGCCTCCAGCCATCCACCATTCTATGTACCATTAAAAGCAATAAACAGTAGTTTTCTTCATAACTTACTTGATTAAACGATTTGAGCTTGGAAACTACCTTCTGAATGAAGGCTTGAGACACTGCTAAAAAACACAGGAAAAATAATGTAAATTACTGCATCCCAAAACACTATAACAACCAAAAATTGCATTGGATTCTTCAAGAATCTGGAAAAGGAACATACCTTGTAAGAGTGAATGATTTTTCTGCAAGAGAGAAGGGCAACGGATAAAGAGAAGGAAAGAAAAAGAGAAAATTAGTAAAATAAGTAAGATATCCCATTTTTAAGCAATTGCTAATATAAACATATTTGAATTATCGTCTTCATTCTGTAAAGAATCATCTTATATAGATACAAAGAATATAAATCATTCTATGGTTCTATGACTACATAAGTATATGTATTTTTTATTTTTTATTTATTTCATCAAGCATGTATTTGATAACAGATACAACTGTAAACATGATTATGAATACATGGAATGCATACGAATAAAAGGGAATATTAGGACTGGGACGATAGGCACGCTGGTGAGCTTATGCATGCCCCTTAAAGACCTCTTAAGAATAGGGTGAGGTCTACAGTAGATAGTCTGCAATCAAGTTTGGATCGGTTTACCATGAGTTTGTATCTATTGTGTGCTCTTGTATTGTTTTGGTTGAAGCTGAAGTATTCATTGACAGGTAGGACACTGTAGCAGATGATTTTATGTACTACACTTAGGTCAGACCTAAGACGGCATAGTTCTAAGTTGTCTAAGCCCAAAATTTCAAGTCTGGTGGCATAAGGTATTTTGTTGTGAGCAGAGGAGTGGAGGACTCTTCTCGTGAAATATCTCTGGACTCGTTCGATTGTATTAATGTCAGATATGCAGTGCGGGTTTCAGATCACAGGCATTCTCATAATGTATCAAAAGCATTTTCATAAATTGCTTTTTAAGTTAACCTTGCTCTCATCTATTATCAAAATGAAAGTACATTCCCATAACACTTGTTCATAGAGTTAAATGTACTTCAGTTACTAATTTAATTTATATTTAATATAGAGATTTCTTTAAAAACAAATAATATCAGCCCAGGAAAAATTACTGGGACTACAGCTGTCATGAAGGTGAATTCAAACCTCTCCAATTTGAAGAAATCTCTCATTGGTTCCAGCAGAAATGTTGTCTGAATGTACAATTTCAATTTCAGAGGATTGCAGCAAGAGTGAAAAAAGTTCAATTTTTCTTTCATGTCTGCTATAACAATTTATATTATTTAAATTTGTTTAAAACAGACACATTACATTTTAATACACATTTTTTGCTATTTAAGCTCATTCAGACAAAACTTTTATCTCTTTTATCCACATCCACATAAATACTCAAGATGGTGAACATACCTAATAGTCCTGCTTCCTATTTTATCTACAACTTTGTGAGGTAGATAGAGATTTACCTTGTAAGTTGGCTATTTCTACGTAGTATTGCAGTTGCTGTATATAAACAATTGGGTATTACTTTAAAACAAAAGATTCTGAAAATGTCTTACTTTTTCTTTGAAGATGCTTTTGGACCCAGATAATGAATGATACCACTGATAGGACAGAAAGCCCAGCGACTGATGTACCAATTGCTAAGAATTTCCCAAGTGTTGAAGTACCTAAAATTTGAAAATTGGAATAAATTAGAAAAGTATAAAATCTGTTCTTTGAATCTATTGTTCTAGATAGCAATGGTAACCTACTTCTGAAAAGCCTTGCCAAGAAAATTGGACAGAAGAAAAAAAATACTATATATTATTCTAGTAATTAGCTCCTATTTATTGTATAAGGATGATTTTTCAAAATTCATATATCTTCCCTTGGAGCACGAGTGGTCCATCAGCAACTCTATTGTGTTCTAGGAAGCCAGACCAGAGTACCTATTATGAAAAACTGGAGCTTTGGGTTGCTATATGCATTTTGGTTAGGATTTACAAAGCAAAATGGCCACCTTAGAGTTTTCAGACGCTTAAGCCCCCAAATTCATGCATTTAAACTCCTGAATTCTCCCCCAACTATTTCTGATTCTATGACTTCGATGTAGCCCTGCCTCAAATTATTAGAAATTACAAATATAATATTTCCACATCATAAAAATGCTTATTTCATAAAATTCTAGTAAAATCTCTGTCATTACAATAAGTATGAAAAATGAATCCTGGCATGCATGTAGCACTGGTAACCAAAATATATTACTGGATAGTCTGATCTCTGTCTCTTACCTTCACAAACAGGAATTGGCTGACTCCAGTGTCCATCTGATAAGCACTGAATCTGGGGTGAGCCTCTTAAAGTGTAACCCTTTGCACAAGCAAAATCACAGGTTGATTTATACTTCAGTTCTGTACCATGATGGGAACAATTCAGAAGGCTTCCTTCTGATTGATGTACTGCTTGACATTTCACCACTGAAACAGAGGAAGATCGTGCCGTAAGTCATCTCATATACGGTCAAAGAAAAGAACATAGAAAAACAGCAAGAGTAAGGCAATAAGATAAGACCTTCACCTTCACAGGTAGGCTCCTGTCCATCCCATTCCCCTGATGCACCACACTGGAGCATATTGGGGCCTTTCAAAACGAAACCTTCTTTGCAAGAAAAAATGCAAGATGAATTCCAGGCATAATTTTCAGAAGGGTTGGAACAGTTGAACAAACCATGTGCAGGCTTCTGTAGTGCATGACATTCCACAACTAAAGACAAAATTGTACTCTATTAGAATAGGCATCTTCCTTAATCAACCAGGTGCCTATTGGCTGAAGACAAACTAAAGCTGTGAATTTCTTATCATGGTACTGAGGTTACATTTAAACTCCTGATCTCTCCTCCCAATTATTTATTTATTTTCTGTTTCAAAGTCTACTACCAATCTCCATAATTTTGCTGGATACCCTAGGAAAATTATTTGCTAAATAAGAATTTATTATTTCCTCAAAAAAGGATTATGAGTTGAAGAGCTAGAGACTTAACTTCATTGCGGCATAAAAAAAATCATTGTGTTTATTGCAGCCCATATAAATTATATTGCAACAAGATTTCCATTGCTGTTTTAGATTTTGGGATAAATTCCCAATAAAAATGTCCTGAATTTCACTGTCCTTTTTTGGGCAGTGCATTGAAATTCATAGTAATCTAAGGAATGTTCTATCATTGGAGTCAAAGGGACTAGTCTAGTTTAAACTGTAAGATCATATTCTCCATGCTGAAAATATAACTCTTGAAATACTACTTTGTATAATTTATTTGCACTTCCTTTCTTAAAAATGGGTACAAAATTCAAAGGTTCTGATTCTTTATAAACATTTTCCATATGCATGCATTGTTTATAGACTCATCCAGAATCAAAGAAATTATACAAAGCTGCTCGATAATGCATAGTTTTATGTAGTATTTCCTAATTTCAGCAAATGTATGGAGGTGACAAACGGCAATGTCTCATTGCTCTCAAAATTTACCTTCACATTTAGGAACTGGATCAGACCATTCACCATTTGATGAACAATGAATGTGGGATGATCCTTTCAATGTGTAACCCTCCGTGCAACTAAATTCATAGACTGACTTGAAACTTGGATTTGTATCGTCAGAAGAATGTTTGGCTATTCCCATTTCAGGAGGCTGCACTGCTACACATTTTACTGCTGGAAATAAACACAGCACATGCAACAAATTACTTTTTTTGTATGAAAAAATGTATTTTAGTCAAAGAAAGTTAAAGTACAAAATTCCAAAATATTCAAAAAAGGATGAGAGAATTAAAAATCCCAACAAAAAACACTGAAAAGAAAAAAGAAAAAAAGAAGACTAACACATGTAGACGTAACATCCTTCCTAACTGAATGCTGATTAATATAATACAGCAATGGTAGTTTCCCACCCCTTGCGAACAGGCCAAAAGAATTTTAAACTGTTGAACTACCAAATCTACTTACAAGTTGTTAGCCTATCATCTATAAACTATATTAATAACAAAATAGTTAACAGAAAAAGTAATAATAACAAACATATAGTATAAATGTAATAAAAATTGTGAACAATAATAAGAGGAAGACAAGATTGAAATTCCAAAACCTTCTGTTAGCAAACTATTATTATAATCAAATTGTAGAAAATTTATCATGGCTTCAATCCCAAATCATCCCAAATATTAACCCTAATTGGTCCCAAATCAAATATACATGTTTGTTTCTTTATAGTTTATACCATCTCTTATCAATTGCTAATTGATTGAATAAAATAAATCCAGTCTTCCAGTAGTGGGTTGCTCCCGGTTCGCACCGGTTCTATAGAACCGGTAGTAAAACTGGCGGGAGGCTCCGCCCACTGACCCTGACGTCTTGAAAATGCTTCTGCGCATGCGCAGAAGAGCGCTTGTGCATGCTCGCTTTGCTCACACACACGCGCAGCCCCGTTGCGAACCGGTATTAAAGGTAAGTAGAACCCACCCCTGCAGTCTTCAAAATCAACCTATCTTGCTTCAAAAAACCCAGATAAAATCATTCCTCAATCTGATGTATTCAGTCCATTTCCCACTCTCTTTCAAAACCCTTTAAAGAAACATTTGCCACTTATCCACCCAGAAAGTTCTCTGCTATTATATAAAAGCCTAGTGTTACACTTCTATAAGGTTTATGAAGTTGGCTCTATTCTGAGTCTATATTTCTTCCTGGGCAGGATATAGCTGGGAAATAACATTTCTTTTTAATGTTCTCCACCATCTGGGTTATTTCTGTATCTATATTTCTTCCCAATGAATCTGCTACTTTGAGAACAAGTTCTTCTTCTGGGTTTAAAGTATTTATTGTCTGGTTTTTTTTATATATATATTTTTCCCAGACTTTATAAATTCACCTAACCTTTTAGAAAAAAATTCAGTTAAAGACTACATATTGCTAGCCAGACTCTGTTTTCCCCCTTGGGTGTCAACCTCCTCCTTCTCTCTATAATCCAATATGTTGTTGCTCAAAGCAGGGAGAAAGGAAAGAAGACAGAGAAGATATTTTCTGACTATTTTGATCCAAAAAATTTGCAGATTAATTAAACACAAATACAAAGTCATGGAAAGCAAAAATTGATAAAAGCAGTCCAATAAATTAAAGAAAGAAAAGAAAAAAGAAAAAAAATCCAGCCGGGGTTGATATAAATCAGCATTCAGCTTACAAATTAATCTTAAAGATAATAACAAAAAAAAAGTTCAAAAAGTCTGGTGATGCAGCAGACTAAAGCACTGTTATTAACATCAAGCTGTCTGCAATTACTGTAAGTTCAAATCTCACCAGGCTCAAGGTTGACTCAGCCTTCCATCCTTTCTAAGGTAGGTAAAATGAGGACCCAGATTGTGGGGGCAATAAGCTGACTTTGTATAAATATACAAAAGTATGAAGGCTATTGCTTAACGCATTGTAAGCCGCCTTGAGTCTCCGGAGAAGGGCGGCATATAAATCATTTATTTTTTTTTATAAAAAAAGTGAATTTAAAAATTACTGGAATGCCTATGATAATATTTTACTGGTAGGAAGAGATGTAAGTGCCCATTGATTTTTCAGCTGCTCCTACAAGGAGCTGCACTCTTCAAGATTCCCTCTCCTGGGTGGGTCCACAGCCATCCAAAAGCCATCTTGGATCATTCCTAAATGCTCCCTTTCAAATCCAGACTGCCAAAGAACCAGCTCTGGCAGCAAACACAGCAGATCATGAGTAAGAGAAAGAAAGGCCCTTACTCCTCAGCAGCCATCTTGTTTTGGAGTCTCAGACACCAATTTACTTTGGTGATAATTGGGCCAATTCACTACATTAAAAAATATGTCCGGTAGGAAAACAATATTAGGAACTAAGATAAGAAGGTACCTTCACATTCTGGCTGTGATGCATCCCAGTGTCCAGAAGCATCACATTGGAGTTCATTGGATCCATTCAGTTTAAATCCTTCTTCACAAGCAAACTTGCAGGTTGAATTCCAGGCAGAGTTTCCAGAAGGACCAGAGCAGCTCATGGAGCCATTAGCTGGAGGCTGTAGTTCACGGCAATGCACGGCTGTAAATGATAGAATTTAAATTATCACTTGGAGTAAAAAAATATGGTGTGTTATATTTTCATACGGTATATATATTTTCATATAAAATAACCTTTTTATTCATTTTTTTTACTATTTGGCAATTATATATAAAAATAATGAGTTTGGAGTTTAATATTGTATAAATGGGAAAGGAAGTTAATTGATTTTGATGTAGCTCTGCCTCTAAGTATTAGAAATTACAAATATAATATTTCCACATCATAAAGATGCTTATTTCATAAAATTCTAATAAAATCCCTGTCATTACAATAAGTATGAAAATGAATCCTGGCATGCATGTAGCACTGGTAACCAAAATATATTACTGGATAGTCTGATCTCCATCTCTTACCTTCACAAACAGGAATTGGCTGACTCCAGTGTCCATCTGATAAGCACTGAATCTGGGGTGAGCCTCTTAAAGTGTAACCCTTTGCACAAGCAAAATCACAGGTTGATTTATACTTCAGTTCTGTACCGTGATGGGAACAATTCAGAAGGCTTCCTTCTGATTGATGTACTGCTTGACATTTCACCACTGAAACAGAGGAAGATCGTGCCGTAAGTCATCTCATATACGGTCAAAGAAAAGAACATAGAAAAACAGCAAGAGTAAGGCAATAAGATAAGACCTTCACCTTCACATGTAGGTTCCTGTCCATCCCATTCCCCTGATGCACCACACTGGAGCATATTGGGGCCTTTCAAAACGAAACCTTCTTTGCAAGAAAAAATGCAAGATGAATTCCAGGCGTAATTTTCAGAAGGGTTGGAGCAGTTGAACAAACCATGTGCAGGCTTCTGTAGTGCATGACATTCCACAACTAAAGACAAAATTGTACGCTGTTAGAATAGGCATCTTCCTTAGTCAACGAGATGCCTATTGGCTGAAGACAAACTAAAGCTATCAATTCTTCATCAGAATACTTACAAAATTTGTGTTTTGCAATAACTATACAGTCCTCAATTTAAAATCATTTATTCCGTGACTGTTCAAAGTTACAACAGCACTGAAAAAATGACTTATGACTGGTTTTCACACTTACAACCTTTGCAGCATCTCCATGGTTACATGATAAAAATTTGGATGCTTGGCAAATGGCATGTATTTATGATGGTTACAATATCCTGGGGTCATGTGCTTACCTTTTTCCACCTTCTGATAAGCAAAGTCAATAGGGAAGGCAGGTTCACTTAACAACTGTGGCAAAAAAGGTTGTAAAATGGGGCAAAACTCACTTAACTGTCTTTCTCAGCAACAGAAATTTTATGGTCAATTATGGCCGTAAGTCAGAGGCTGAAATAAGTGACATATAATAGAAGGTAGAATAGAATGTAATTTAATGTGATAATCTTTCCAATCTGACTAACAGAAATAACTCATAACATAATAATTCAATAACACCGACTTAGACAATTTCTCTTTGGTTTTCATTTGGTTTCAGCAATCAAATGTACATACCTTTACAGGATGGAGATGGTGCAGACCATTTTCCAGAATCCATACATGTTATTGATTCCATGATCTCAGTCAGTTTGTAACCTTCCTTGCACTGAACATCACAAGAAGAATTAAAGCCAAAATCCTGTATTGGATGTTGGCATGTAAAGATACCATGATCTGGGTCTTCCAGTTGATTGCAAGTTATTACTACAAGAGAACAGAAGAGTTTGGATAAGGCATTTGTTCCAAAGTGGAACAAATGGACAGAATGGGAAATCCACAATGAGTTTGAACTAACTAAATGCCTAATTAATCATACCATGTTCGCAGTCACGTCCATAGAACCCTTTGTTGCACTGGCAGGTGTAATTGTTGATTGTCTCTATACATTCCCCACGACCACTGCAGGAATTTGGAGTACAAGAGGCTGCAAGACAATTAAGTAAATTATATTGTGAAACAGTAATGATATGATGGCTATTATAACACGATAGTAGAATAAGGTATTTCCCTTTAAGAAGGAAAGAGGGAAAAAATTATGTTTCTATTTTGAAGATTCATTTTTCCCTTTTTGGCTTTTTGTCCTTCTGGTGCTCTTTCTTTTTTTCTTTTTAAAAGCTGTCTGCTCTATTATACAAATTTCAGTGGAAACATTTTCCACAACGGAAAAAAAAATAGGAAACAGCCATTTACATAAATTACAGAGATTTTTCTAATTTCTTACTTTCACGCAAAAGTGTTTCCACAATTTCTTTCATATGACTTCCCCATAGTAACCCCATATCTTTGCACTTCACAAGATACATCCAATGTTAATTTGATTGGACTTCCATTTATAGCCACCAACAATTATTATATCTGACATTTAAAAAAGAATTAATACAGCTCTTTGGAATATTAGAAGCAGAATCCATACAATGAAATTACTCCAAATATATTCTTACAGAAGTCCCATTAAGACTTATCATTGATTTACAATTTTACATCAAGAATGGTTCAATCTGAATCTAACCCCTTATTTTTCAATATTTACAACAGTCCTAAAAATAGATATGTACTTTTCCTACTAAAAACAGTATAAACAGTAATTAGAGTGATATCAATCCATACCATTATAGCACAAAGCTCTTTTAGTTTTATAACATGGTTCATCATTCCACTTTCCTGAATCTTTTGTTCGTTTTATATAGATCTCGACACAGTCCTCATTCTTTTTTCCGTTGTTTGGTTCACCTTCAGCCCAGTTTTTTGCTTCTTCGGTCAGTTGCTTGTTTGTTCCAACCCATCTCCATTCATTCTCAATTTTTCGGATACCAATCCAGTAATAATTTGAATTTATAGGAAATGTTGCATTTAAGTAGTGAATTTCCTCTTTATTCTGAATAGCAACCAGATTTGTAAAATGGGTTTTACACCATTTCTCTGCTTTGATGTAATTCATATTTTCCTCTGAAGCATGGTATGTCCAGCTGTTGCTAACCTTAAATAATAAAAATCCTAAAACAAGAGATAACAACAAATTGTTGTGTTAGAATTTAGCTGTCGGCTAACATAAGCCCTAGAGACCAGAAATGTAGTTCATGCTAAAAGAAGACATAAATAAAGGTTGAGAGGGTAGCTATGGGAAGAGGAATGGTTCTGGTTTAAAAAACAGGTGAGAGGTAACTATGCCTTCCTATGAATTGGATGGAAAAGGAACAGAGCATAAAATTACCAGCCATATGCCTAGAATGGGCTTCTAATATATGGAAAGGAATCTAAAGCTTTTCTTTAGTCAAAACAAAGGACTTGATTAAGAAAACAGAATAAAAAGAAAGTGGATGAAATATAACAAGTGATCTAGAAAAGATAGAAAGAGAAAATAGACAGGAATGATAGTCTGAGTTTTGAGATTATTAAAAAAGGAAGAGAAAAATTAATCTGGTGATAACTTTCTCCTTCGGACAGTTTGGAAACATTAAGCAGATCCTGGTAAATTTTTGATACCATTCAGCCTCACACAAACTTTTGACATTAGTTTGCTGTCTGTTTTTAGCCAAAATGTTTTTTCTAGTTTGTCTTATTAGTGTAATTTTTAAAAAGTATAAAATAAGGTTCCTGCTTCAGTGAAAAGAAGCCCACCGTAAGAAATGTTGCTTCTACTCAGTCAGGAAGGCTCCTAAAATTTGAAACATTCACTTACCATAGCAAAGAGTGGAGAGAAAGTGAAAGGTAATCATCACAGCAGAAATAGTCTTAAAATGGTCTAGCTTTGTTCCTGTGCTGCAGTGTCTGGATTAAAAAAAATAATAATAAAATAGTAGATTGTTGTAAATTGATAAAAGAAGTAATGGGTTTTCTCAAGAGTGTGTGAATATATATAAATGAAATCATACAATTCACATGCAGTTATATAATAAACTTGAAATCCAAACAAAAGTAGCAGTTAAATCTCATCAGCCTTCTGACATACAAAGTTCTTTTTCCCTCTCATTTTCCTCTCCCAGTAATCAGCAACAGATTGCTCAAGGAGATTACAGGATTACATAATCGTTTTCAAGAGAGCTAGACTGAATCTTGTTTGAAACATTTGAATGCTGTAAATACAAACTGCAGCTAGAAAGCTGTTGAACTGGAGGAAACATTCTGCATGCATACTTTTTAAAGTATAAAGTTAAAATAGCTTATTCCTTTTTCCTCCCTTAATCTGCCTTCTAAATGCATTGAAATAACAATTCCCAACAATTGGCATTTGGTTATATTGAATGGCAATTAGCCATGGTTGGGATTATTAATTATTAATTAATTATGGCAATTAGCCATAATTCTGGCTGGGAATTCTGAGAACTGCAATTCAATCATTAGGAGAAAATTATTTTCTGGCCATGCCTAAGAATATAAAGTATGAACTTCACAAAGTGAGACTTACAAACTGTATGTTAGACTTATATATTTTTAAGAAAATTCAGATTGGCATTAGTTCTCTGTTGAATTTATAGTTTAATTTTAAAGAGCAGATTAATGTGAAAAGTAATATATATTTAATAATATAAATAATACTTTTATTCTTTGATCCTGCATTATAAATGTATTTTCTAAAAGAAATTTAGCAAATTGTCATTTTAAGATGGAATGAATGTTGTCATTACTCACATGTTCTTTTTCTATTCAACTTTCCCTTTGGCATCTTTTGAAAAATTTAAAAAAAAAGCTCAAAGTTTTGTTTTTTACTTACCGATAGTGAATGTGGAATGTGAAATCCTAGTTCTAGTTAGATGAACAGAAAAGTTGTATTCTGCAGACTCAAGCTTTAAAGTGACACTCCGCAGCTTTCACTTCTTGATTGTTGGCCTATTACTCAGCTCACTGCCTTATATAGAAGACTCCAGCCACTTTGGAAATCCCATGACACATCCAACAGGAAAGTGAAGAAGAAAGTGAGAATTTCCCTAGGTAGGAAAAAAAATCCTTGGAATATTCATGATGTTAAAGAACTAAGACCACCTCCCTGCCTTTTCCATTTGAAAGCATTTGTCCTCATGAATATCTGATTGCAATTCCTGGACACAAATGTTTATTTTAATTAATCCTCATTTTTAAAAATGATGTACTCAAATTCTTTTGTTGATGGAGCTATTCTTGGAATTGGATTCATTTCAAGGATTTATTTTTCAACATTTTTTCCTGTTTAATTATGGAGGTGGAAAAATTCCTTTTTATTCAGTCTGTCCATCCATCCATCCATCCATTTATCCATCCTTTTATCTAGCAACTCGTGGCAGTAAAAATAGCCTTCCTCCCTTTAATTTTAACTTCATAAAACCCTGTAAAATAGGTTAGGTTTGAAATATAGGGCCTGACCCACATTTGTTCCTTGACTACTATACTGTAGCAGTAGCTGTATGTATACCTGAACTTGTCTGTCGCTGATCCTAGTTTGTTACCTTGGCTCCTGCCCTCATCATGTTTGCTTTGTGACTCCAGGCCCAGTTGGGATCTATTGCCTTCACATATGCAGGATCAAGGACTTCCCATTCTAAGGCTAGCCATGGCTCAACAGAAGAATATTTTTATGATTTGAATGAAAGATACAATTCTACTTATCTCCCCACAAATGCATTAAGCATAATAACTATTGCAAATAATATTGCAAAACTTGTAGTTGATCACATTTGAAATGAAGTTTGTAAGGATTTTCAGGCTGCTCACAGGAGAATTTTACTGTCAGGTCTGCCATCTTCAGCTTGGCATCTCACTAGCATTCTGCCATCAAAGGCTAGGAGGGAGGGGGCATGGAGGGAACAAATGGGCGATAAACATGTTTTGGTATGTGACTGGAATTAGGAAGGGGGGAATGACAACTTGACAAAGAGCAGCTTGGAACCAGTTCGTGCCAGCGCTCAAGGCCATGCACCCTAAGAAAAGAATGTGGATTATCCCAAACATCTCAGCGTTCTCAAAACATCTAGGCGGATCTTCATTGGCTGAAGATGAAGTGTTCATGGGGGGAGGGCTGGGATAAGGAGAAACTTTTTGTATTTTTTTCATGCGGGAAACTTAGTTCTAGTCTGACTTTGCTGCAACCAGTGTTCTTTAGTAAAAAGAACCTATCACTTTATCCAAATGGAGTTGAGGGTCTTTCTTTCCTAAGGGATCGGATTGGGGCAGGTCTGACATTTACAATAATTTGAGGATATATATTGTGTGTGCCTATTAATAGGCTTTTGCAGTGGTGGGATTCAAGTAATTTAACAACCGGTTCTCTGCCCTAATGATTTCTTCCAACAACCAGTTTGCCAAACTGTTCAGAAGGTTAACAACCGGTTCTCCCGAAGTGGTGCAAACTGGCTGAATCCCACCACTGGGCTTTTGGCCTTTTTCTTGGTATGATATGTAACAAAACAGTACAGAATCTCTCTAAATCTTCCTCCCTTGCTTCTAGGTTTCACTACTTTTAAGGTATACTTTTTTCTTCAAAGGTTGTATTTCAGAATTGACCATGCCTGTTTTTTTCCAATTTTCTTCTAAAATTTCCTCTTCAGTTAACAAACAAACAAACTCTTTATGGAAGAAATTCTCATTTGGTAGTCAGAAACAGAGGTGGGAAACTGTCAGCTTCTTTTCGCTAATAGTCATATAGCTTACCATTATTTGAAGTCCCACCCCAGATACAGAGAAAATTAGTTTTTGTAATACATTTTGTTGCAATATTTTTAGCATACCCTAAAATATTATTACTCCAAAACTTCTTAAAAATTGCATCTTCACTTCATATGCAGGAAAATATTTGTCTTGCTATCCCTTTTCAAGTGTAAAGATCTTATAGTACAATAAATATTACTTAATTATTTAATACTGCAAAAATACCATCTCTGGATAGTTTTGAATGAGTTTTAATTTTTGCTTAAACCATTTGGGGCTATTCCTAATAACCATTTTATTGCAGAAGCAGATTGTTTCTGCATTCATTTATATAAATGTATTGCTATCCTGAGGATGTCTTCTTTTAACAAAAATGGCTGATCTGAATAATTAAACTGCAGTCCTCACAGATTCAGTTTAAATACTTCAATTGAATTGGCATTAAGATAAGTGGTCCTAAATTTTGAAAAAGATAACAAGCATCCATACAGAACAGTAGGAGGAGCTTTTTAGCAAGAAATGCTTCTAGAATGAGCCAATCAATACAGAAGTTCTGTTCAGACATTGTCACAGAGCCAGTTTGGTTTAGACAGAGCACAAGTGTCAAACTCACAGCATCACACCATCACGTGACATATCACAACATTTTTTTCCCTTTGCAGAGCTATGGTGGGCATGGCCAGCACATGACGCATCCGGCCCATGGACCACCTTAGACATCCCTGGTCTAGAGGTTTGGTCTCAGGTTAGAAACCAATTTGGTCTCAGGTTAAAAAACAGGAGGTTGTGAGTTCTAGTCTCACATTAGGCATGAAAACTGCTTGGGTGACTTTGAACCAGTCACTCTCTGTCTAACCCAACTCACGAGGTCGTTATAAGGAAAATAGAAGAAGGAAGGAATACTGTGTTTGTTCACTGCCTTCAGTTATTTATAAAAATAACAAAGGCGGGATATACTGTAAATATATAAAAAAATAAAATTCACCACACAAACCATGCTAAGAAGCTCCTCCCTTCTGAGCAGGGTTTAGAGTGGATGTCCTCTAAGGTTCCTGCCAATTCTATGATTCCATGGTTCACTGTCCACAGAGAGTCCAAATAAACATGATGGCCCTGTCTCTTTGTATATGCATCAATGTAGGAGCATGGATGTGAGGCCACATGTGCCATCTTGTTCAACTTGATTTCCTCTACAGGCACTACTGCTGCAAGTGATGCACACTTTGAACTGCAAACTCAGTATGATTTCCTATTATTGTATTCCTCTACTGCACATACCAGACTTTGTCTTTGTGTGTGTGTGCGTGTGCTTTTTTTTTTTTTTTTTTTGCTTGAGACTCTTAAGACCCTCTTATTTCAGCAAGCCGGCCTGGCCTAATTTTTTCTCCCCTTTCTTTTAAATTTTTAAACTGAAATTTTAATTTGTTTTTAAATTATTGGGATTTTAAATTGTTGTGGGCTAAATTATTTAATTTGGTTTTAAATTGTTTCTAACTTTTGTACTTCTGTATTTTATCCTGTGCCTGTTCACCGCCCTGAGTCCTTCGGGAGTAGGGCGATATACAAATTTAATAAAACTAAACTAAACTAAACTAAACTTGAGAAATCTACCCCAATACCCTGGTTTTAGGAAAAAAGAAAATAACTTTTCAGTGGATGAAAAACACAAGGGCATGAATGTCTTTTCAGTTTTTGCCATTTTTCTTCTGGAATTCATTTTAAACTCATTTTTTTCTAAAGCTGATTTTAGGAGCTTATTTATTATTTACTAGATTTATACTCCTCTGGGTGTTTAAGGTGACATACACATAGCATTTCCTCCTCCAATTTTTCCTAACAATGGCAACTCTATGAAGCAGGCTAAGGAGAAAAAGTCTGACTGACCTAAAATCAGCCCAAGAACTTCTATGGCTTAAGTTTGCTCTCACCTGCTCTAACCAAAAACTTTAATCAAGCCTCAACACAGGTTTCCAAATGACATTTATGTTGTCTCTGAAGAAAGTTGATATATAAATACTAAGCAAGCATTGCCAAGTGTTCTTTAAGTCTTGTAGTACACATTCACAAGTATAATGTTCATAATTTTTACTAGGATTTTTTTCCAATGAAGTGCTACATTAAACATCAGAAACCTCACTTATGCCATTTATACATTTTAATGGATGTATTAATTTTACTTTAGTGCCTTTACATGTTGGGCACTGCTTAGTTTACAACTTTTTTGTTAACTGGAATTCTTAGAGTGACTTGCAGTAATTTCACTGGAAGAATTCATCAGTGGAGTTCCAAGAAGGAAGGAAACTCCACCAGACAGTTTGTTGTGTGCGCAGAAATATCTTTCCTGTGCAATGGCCAAGCAAGACTTTGTCTGTTGATAAGCCAGAAAAAATATTACTGTAATATTTATAAAACTTCCAATGAATTTTACTTTTCCTTGCAATCTTATCAAAACTACAGAAACATTTCTTAATGTTAAAAACTATGCAAAACTATATATGTACATAAATATTTATATCATTTCCAGACACCTTGTAATTGCATTTTTCTTCTCTGTACTATATTTATAGCTAGATTTCATTTACATTATACTCCGGGAATCAGCTTGACTCCAGGTGATATCCTGGATACATCCATGAATTTTTCTTGGCAAAATGTAGTGGTTTTCATTGTCTTCTAGGATTTTTTTAACTTCTCAGTCTAGTCTGCTGTCTTGGGATTTCCTTGTGGTCTTTCACTCAAGTAACAACCATGTGCAACCTTGGTTAGCTTTTTGAGATCAGCCAAGATTGGCTAGAACGCATTTTCAGCAGCAGGAAAACATGAATGCTTTCTTCTGATATTATGGTCCAAATATGTTATTAGAATATTGAATATTTATTTAATCTTGTCAAATTCTAATTGTTTTACTTCTTAAAACTTGTCCATTTGGACAAATGGATGTTTAGTGACAACTTGAGTCACCTGCTACCATTTACCTTGCTATCTGGATTTATTTCGGATCTTTCCCAGCCAAATTTTAAAGATCTGAGAATCAAACCTATATTAGCACCCTCTGACTCTTCATAGGTTGCCAAGAGCAGCATTTATAGAAAAGATACAGATAAGACCTGGCCCATATCTTATTGAGATTGTTCTTGAGTCACACAAGCAGAACTCTCTCCAGGATAAATTAATCCAGGCATGCT